TAAAGGCCAGGGGAGCTAGGATGGAAAGGCGTCTTTATATCCAGTTTGACAGCAGATATAGAGTGACGCGTCGCGTGGCCGAGACAGTTGAATGAACCGCAGATACAAGAAACGAGTGTAAGCAAAGGATGGAAACTGACGACACGCACAACGGCAGTAGAGCTGAACTAGAGCTAAAGAACAGGCAACAAAACAAGGAACAGGGAGATAATAAAAAAAATAGTATAATAACCACAGAGCCTCCCAAACGGAATGATGCGTCTACACCATGTATCAACACGTGGTAGCTCAAAAAGGAATTGGAAAGTTGGCTGACAGCACAACAAATGAAGACAGAACCCAGCGGCAGAGGTCAGTACAAAGAGTGAACTGCGGAGAAGAGGGGAAGGGGGGCAATTATTATGCAATCGACAGTATACATTGAAGGTCAGGGCGGGGGTCAACAAAAGAAGTGGGAATCATAGAGGGTCGTATAGTCAGATGCTCAGGAAGAAAAGACGGACAGCTATGAAAAATGGGTTGATCGAATGAGGAGAACCGAATGGGTTAAACTGCAGTTACTCCTATGCTTTAGATCAAGGGTATAAAGAAGGGACCAGAAACAACGGTAGGAAAATAACGTTAGTGGATCGTTACCCTGACCTCAAAAGGGACCGCGGAGAATGTCGTTGCTGGAGATCGAATCGCATCAAGATTAAGCACTTTCAACGATGCACATTGCCACCAAACAGACGTAAGAACGAAATGGGAAAGTCAAAGAAGGAATGAGATGGGGCGGGGGTGAGAAGGGAAGGGGGTTCGGAGAACGATAGACGAAAGAGAGACGAGTGACAACCTATCTTTGCCCCAGGAACTTTTTCTCTTGACCAAACGTACTTTTAGTTCGGAATCGCGCAGGCCAGTACTGGGACAGGAACCGCAGGCATGTGTCCGGAGGGCAAGAGGAAAGCTGCAGGGACTGTTGACTGTTTCTTGTTCGCCTCTGCGTTCTCCAAAGTCGCGAGTGAAGGAGCCACGGGGAAAACAAGACAAGACTTCTCGGAGAAGAATAAACAAGAATAAACAAGAAGGAATAAGAAAAGAAAAAGAAAATAAAGTCTGCGGAACCAACCAGGCTAGGGTGGATCAGGCCGTGTTCAACCTAGAAGAGAATAGTGTTTCAAAAACGATGGTTTCAGATGATTCCAAGCGCCCACACGCGTTCTGCAACGAGGATTGAAAGGATGTGGAGGAAAGGCAACCAGCCTTCTCCTATAGAGAAAAGGGGCACGAGGGAACTCTGGATACGCTGAACAAGGATCTGAAAGATTAAGAGGGGCACGAATAAGTAGGGAAAAGGGAAAAAAAAGACTAACAATGCACAGAGTGGGAAGCTGGACGGGGTGGAAGAGCAGGGGGGGACTAGAACAACAGGCTGCGGCTACTGTTGTACTCCCTCACCCCGTAGTCAGAGCGGGTAGAGAAAAAACAAAGATGAGATAAAAGACGAAATAATAATAATAATAATAATAATAGTAATAATTATACAAAATATAAACGCGGGACAAATCTAAATATCAGTAAATCAAACATCATACAAAGACAATTGGAGAAAAAGGAAAGAAGTACTATTGCACCATCAACAGGTGAAGACTGGAGAGCAGGGGAGAAGCCTGCTGTTCGACTCGATGTCGCCTTTTTTTGAGGGGTCACAAGAGTTCCGGTCCCTCACGCAGGAAGCAGCGCGTTACGAATGTATATCATGGACGAAAGACAATTGGTGATAGGTGGACATTGGCGCCCCAGGACGTTGGGTCAACGGAGGGGATAATCGACGTGTTTTGAAAACGAAAGCTGTTTAGGGAGAGCGAGGTTCGGGGTCATCTCCCGGATGGAGGTAGCGCGGGCGATCCAACCCAACGCCAATTCCCTTTTCTGCATGGTTTTATTATTAGCGATCAATTGATGCGCTCCATCTGGACGCAGTCACAGGAGTCGCAGCGACATGCATTGGCCCTATTGAAGATAGCGGGAATGCAACGACAATGACTGGCAGAAAATGGATGGCGGCGGAGGCAGTTGATAACCGCAGGGTGGGGTTGGGGGCTCCGCAATAGGCGCAGGCGAGACCAAAATCCTGAGGGCTGGGAGAGGTCAACAAGAATAATCCAGTAATCAAGTAGGAATACCTAGGGTCGTGTCCTGGCTCTTCTAGCCGCAAGTTATAATTGGCCAGGTATATTCTCAGTTTTGCTGGACGGGAACTTGAGGTAAAATGCGAAGATACTCAGACCCGTCTCATAAGAGGCCAGCGCAATAATAAGGTTAAAAAGAAAACAAGGCAATGAAGCACCTATCAGTGGTCCTGTTTCCTGTGGTCTCTTCTCATCTAGCGAGCTGGATCGCCACCTGCCGAAATTATGATCATATGGCTATCCGGGGCGATAATTTTAGCCTGGAAGAAGGGCCCATAGAAAGGTGGGAGTATTTTTCCAGAAGAGCGCCGCTACACCGACGGAGAGCGTTGTCAGACTCTCAGAAAACTTGTGGTTTTGTACTCCGTTCACCGCAGACTGGCTGGTGAGTCGAGACGTTGAACGAGCCAGCGTCTGGCCAGTGGCCAATGGGTCCGCCTGTGAAAATCTCCTTTGGAAATATTATTAGTCGATTTCTCGTTCAAGGAGATTCGATCGATGATACCCAGTCAATAATATTAATGGTCCATGCACGAGAACCATCGGCATGCAGGAGAGGCGACGCCCCGCCGATTTGAATCAACCGTCCGGGAGTAGCCCGGCAGGATGCTGCTGACGTTGTTCCTAGGTCATCCGCGTGGGTCCCGGACAAAAAAGGGCGGCTTCCAGAAAGAACATGATGATGGAAACGTCCCATACATTCTTACTGGAGATGGTGATACACTGCAGCCAGGGTGGGAGCTGGAGGGGGAGCGAGAGTGAAACCAGAAGGCGAGAGCTCAAAGACTTTGGCAGGCGGGAACAGAAGGATTCAAGGAAGGGATTGGAAGGCCCACTCCCTCAGGTACCCGTCATCGCCGGCACGCTTGTATTGGTCCAGGAACGATGGATCCCAGTGATTGTAATTACAGTCTTAGTATTCTTGACGATTACTGGAATAATAATAATTCTAATGGAATTCTTCCCAAGTCCTCCGTACAACATCCCGATTCTCAAACAAAGTAGATCCAGTTACCAGGATGGAGCTTCTGATCGTCCTCTGTGTCGCATGATGAGACCACGGAATCCAGTTGATTCTGGAAAATTGTGCTGTCCTGGAACGCATCACCATTACCCGATCCAGACGCTGCAGGCTGGAAAGGTATTTTCTTCGACTCTGATCGTAGATTTTGGGCAAGAGCCAATCTGAGCCCACCACGTATTTGATCAATTTGAGATTCCCTCGGCATCTTCATCTCACGTCGGGCCCGTTTGAGTTTCCCCTGATCAACAGCTCGGTCAAGGTTCGAAGTCTGCTCTCGTGTGTTTGAGGCAACACCCGTTCATGCACGAGACTCCATCTGGATTCGCGAGCACTTTGTCTCTGAGCCATCTCAAACAGCGGCCCAGCTAAGAGAAGTGCGTCGTTTCTGGACAATGCCATTCGACGGTGTAACTATAGACAGCCCACCTGGGCGAAGGGGCCTTACTCCGTTCTCACTAACTCGATAATCCCTTCCTAGGTGTTCCGGGCACTGGACAACTGCAACTCACCCGCGCTCATGCAGCGTTCGAAATAATGGGAAGCTCGTGCCCAATCGCTAACCGCCCCAAGCCGCACCAATGCTGGAGAACGGTAGGAAATTTCCCGAGCCGTCATCCGGGCTATCCTTGATCAACCCCCGTCGCGTCTCATCTCACTCTCACTTTCAGTCTATCTTGTGCACATACCCTCCGCTGTAAATTCGCCTCCTCGTATGCCCCCGCTGCAGGGCGGGTTCCCCTGACGATTTGGCATTTTATGGCCTATGACTCTGTCTAATGCGCAGTGGGTCATGAATATGCTGGAGGACACAGGTTTATCCTGAATCCATATTAAGACGATGCACGGTTTTGGCTTTAAGCCCGTGGACTCTTCTCTCAGCAGCCTGCTGCTAATCTACACCGGATGGCAGAACTTTACAACCTAGTTTGCTTTCGCTCTCTCCGTGGACGGCTGAAAATATGACCTCTGGCCGCATTTCTGTTGAAAAACGACGTCAATAGCCATGCTTTGGCATTCTAATGTGATTTGGAAGACGACGTGAAGCAGAGAATTCTCTACTCAGCCTTCTTTTTTTTGGGCAGCCATGGCTTAATCGCTGCTTTCGCGATTATCTTGATATCGGTAATCAATCAAGGGTACTGGCCTGGAGACGAGAACTGGTGCAGCAGCGCTGCATATGCCAGTCCGCACCAGGGACTAAGGGCCGAAAGAGAGACGGTTCGAACTGAGCGAATGCCAACCTCCCTCCCACCATCGTCCGAAGCTGAAGTGTGCATCCCATGTTAATCAGCTCGATCTAGGCGTTGGCAATGCCTCTTCCTTTCTTTTTCTCCTCGAGTCTTGACTGACCGACGTTTCATAACCACCCAGTCTACAGTGAGGGGTGGTGCACTTTAACAGCTGTTCAAATGACAAAGAATAGATAGTTGGACGCTATCCGTGGAAGAATATAGATGCGGAAGGCAAATTTGAAGGAAAATGTATGCAAGAACACTGGAAGATAGAATAGAGTGAATTCCTTATTATCCCTCCTCCATTATTACTGTGTCTTGGCATCCGCAAAAACGTGGACGGAAAGAAGCTCGACAGTTGATTCCTCCAAGTTCTCCCTCCCACTTCAAACTTCTCACCTGCCTACTTCTTTTGTCGCTTCCCCCTCAGACACAGCTCAACTTCCGTTCCTTACACCCCGTTTCTTTTGATTTGCCTTTTTCTTCTGTGTCCAACTCCGAGCTCCGTTTGGACCCTTGTGCGACGCTGTCTCTGGCTCTGATAGTTTTGCGCGCCCCGTCCGTGTCGTCATGTCAACTCATGACAACGCGGACCCTCAGTCAGAATCTGTTGCCGATGGAGTCACAGCGATGAAACTGGAGCCGTCAAATAATCTCTCCGATGCTCCGATTCTCAACGGTGGAGGGGCTGCAATGAAGCCCGACCCCCAAGCCGCGTCGCCAGATCCTGGGATAAAGAGCGAACGAGATACCACATCCCTAGCGAAATCTCGATCCTCCTCCCGCACTCCGCCCAAGAGCGAAAATTCGGAAACAGCTGAAGGGGATCTGAAGGGAGAGAGGGAAGATGATCTGTCCGGTACGGAAAGGGTTGGAGGTGGTATCACCGTCAAATTGGAACCGGGACAACCCCCAAAGTTGACTCGTAACTCCTCACAAAAGGTCATTCCGCGACCACCACGGCTTTTTCTGGATCTGCCCGACAGTACCAAGGAAGCTCAAAAGACATTCGAAGTGATTGAAGCTTGCCAGTATGCCAATAAATACATGGGTTATACGGAACATGCAATGGAGTGTGATTGTGCGGAAGAATGGGGTGAGTTTGCTCTTGTTCTGCTTCGTTTGTTATCTTAGCAGTTTTGATTTTCATGCTGCATTGCCCCTGCCTTTTTCGTCTTTCCTCGCAGAATAAAACTCGATAACTTCTGTTTTCGTGTTGCCGACACTCAAATTATTATTATCTCAAACTCTGTTCTATTTAATCTAACTAAATTGTCTAGATACCACTAGTGCTACGAATCGAGCTTGTGGGGAGGACTCGGACTGCATCAACCGCGCGACAAAGATTGAGTGCATGGGCGACTGCGGCTGTGGACCCGATTGCCAGAACCAACGATTTCAGCGAGGAGAATATGCGCGCGTGGCTGTAATCAAGACCGACAAGAAGGGCTACGGCCTCCGCGCGGAACAGGATCTGCGGCCGCATCAGTTCATTTTCGAGTACGTCGGGGAGGTCATTAATGAAGGTCCGTTCCATCGCCGCATGAGGCAGTATGACGGAGAGGGGATCAAACATTTTTACTTCATGTCCCTCAGCAAGGGCGAATTCGTGGACGCAACTAAGAAGGGAAATCTTGGGCGTTTTTGCAATCACTCTTGCAATCCCAACTGTTATGTCGATAAGTGGGTTGTTGGAGAGAAACTCCGCATGGGCATTTTTGCTGAACGCCATATCCAAGCCGGCGAAGAGCTAGTTTTCAATTACAATGTGGATCGGTATGGGGCAGACCCCCAGCCATGTTACTGCGGTGAACCCAACTGCACGGGATTTATTGGTGGGAAGACTCAGACAGAGCGGGGAACGAAGTTGTCAAATGCGACAATCGAAGCCCTTGGCATTGATGATGCCGATGGGTGGGATACTGCCGTTGCAAAGCGGCCGCGGAAGAAGAAGATGGGCGAAGACGATGAAGAATACGTGGACAGTGTGCAACCCAAATCATTGGATGAGAGTGGGGTTACGAAAGTCATGGCGGCTCTTATGCAGTGCAAGGAGAAGTGGATTGCGGTCAAGCTTCTTGGACGCATTCAACGTTGTGATGATGAACGTGTGCGCAACCGGGTAGTGAAAATGCATGGATATCAGATCCTCAACTCTCAACTCAGCATGTGGAAGGACGATTATAACGTTGTGCTACAAATTTTGGACATCCTGGACAAGTTTCCCCGCCTAACGCGGAATAAAATCATTGATTCGAAAATTGAGTCAACGATTCAACCGCTCACCAGCTGCGGTGATGAAAGAGTCGAGCAAAGGGCGACTGTGCTGTTGCAACTCTGGTCGACCTTGGAAGTCGGTTACCGCATTCCCCGTATGAAGCGGGACCCCAATGCCTCTACGCCGGCTGTCAGTCAGTTTCAGCGACGAGAGAATGTCTCAGACGAGCGGCAGCAACGGTCTAAATCGCGATCTCGATCTCGATCAATCGAGGCTCCTCGCGGGCCAGCAGCGCAAAAACGGGGTGGTGGCCAAGGTCCAAGAAACCCACACCACCATCATGGCCCTCGCCCGTTCCGCCGACGATTCGAACCCCTTCCACAGGGATGGTATGCGGCGGAGTCGAATGGCAGGACATACTACTATTCCGCTCGGGGCGATACTACCTGGACACGACCGACAAAGCCGGCACCTCAACCGCCACCGCCACCGAAAGAGTCGAGAGACAAAGCACTTCAAAATATCATTGACGGTATCATGAACGCAAAGGAGCAGACCCCCAAGGAGAAGAGTGGCACTCCTGCTACCCCTCAGCCATCCAAGCATACACCAGAGAGCAAGGATGGACAAGAAAAGTGGAAGAACTATAGTGAAGAAAAGCAGAAAAAGCTCTACGAAAACACGGTAAGTTAATTTCTGTCTTGGACCAACCGTAGCTAAAACTAATGGGTGTGTAGTTGTTTCCCCACATAAAATATGTCGTTGATAAGTTTAAGCACAAGCTTCCAAAAGATGATCTTAAACGATACGCGAAAGATGTGGGTGCCTTTGTCTCTGGCCATCGTTCAAGTGCTAATAGCCGCTGCAGGTAGCCAAAAAGCTAGTTAACTCAGATTTCAAAAACAATCGAGTTGAGAATCCCACGAAGATCGATGACAAACAACAGAAGAAAGTCAAAAAGTTCTGTAAAGAGTTCTTCGACAAGGCTGTTGCTAAGCATCAGGCCCACGAACAGCGCAAATCCCAGAAAGCTCCAAAAGAACACGGAACGTCTGCGACACCCGCTGGTGGCCAGAGTGATGGCGAGGAAGGAACTCCAGATGTGAAGATGTCAGACGATGAAAGTAGTATGGAAAAGGCCGGGGCTGGTGTTAAACGAAAGAGAGACGCACTTGGCGTCGGTAATGGGGATGCCCTGGACGAGACACCAACTTCGTCAACTAAGCGACATCGGTCGTCAACTCCACCACCTCCTCCGCCTGCCATGGCCCCCAACGATGACGATGACAACGATGACGACTTGAGCATCAAGAGCGATGAGCCTGACGCTGACGCTGACGCTGACGAGGTTGTTCTGGTCGGCAACCCAACACCACCTCCTCCGCCTCCTCCACCTCCGCAAGAAGATGCCGACCCCCCAGACGCAAGTACAGACACGAACAGACACGACTTCGAAGGATACAGCCAAATGAACCGATCTCATCAGACTCATATCGGCATCGAGGGGAATGTATAGAACCCATTTTCAATACCTATCACCCCTTCACACAAATATCCTCTAACTTATTTAATTTCGGCATGTGATGGAATCCAGTACGTCGTTTAGATTACTAGGCTCTTTTCTTTTTCCTTTTCGCTTTTGGAATGGTCATTTATTAGGCATGACCGGGGTCGGTGCAGCATTGCATGGGGTTGAGGCGTTCTCTTTACAATATTCTCAGGCCTGGTTTTGTTTTCTCATATATCATCTTTCGCCCTCGTCATTTACCATAGTAACATTTCTTTTCTTTCTTTTTGCATTTCTCTGTTCCATTGTCACCTTCAATACCCATACCCTGATTTCTATATTGGCTTGTATCTCTATCTACACTACAGCGAGTTGAAAGGGTCCCATGCATTCATACCGCACTCGTTTTTCTACAATAAAAAAGCACTGGGGGAGGCGTCCATGATTGATCTGGGGCTTTTCTTTTATTCATTTTGCATTGTATAAATAACTACCTACTAGTATTAGGGAATAAAGGGAATGCTGGGCTCAACTGATTTAAGGCACACTAGAAAATAAAAAGAAGGGTTTATGTTCTGTCTAATTTTACATCTATCTAGTCCTTTGCTCTGTATTGACCCAGGTCGTATGTTCAAGAATCAACACAATACTGCAAGCCGTATTTGTGAGAGGGATTGGCAAAAATGGGCAGCCACTACAATTAGAGAATAAAGAAAAGATGAACCAGTGAAGTATGTACCTCGCTGCAGTCGAAACCGCAGCCATTGCATTTCTACTCCGTACATACTAAAAGCTATTTACTCCAAAGTCAAAAACACCCCATCCGTTAAGTATGCACGTAACGTATCGTAGCGAAGGGACATGAAAAGGGGAACAGAAAGAAACAGTCAGAGCCGTGAAGTAGTGGTGGTAGGAGGGAAGAGCGGAAAAAGGAACGGGTGATGAAAGAAGAAAGCTTAATAGAAACTTTCCACAATACTCTCCTTATTCGCAGCTCCCTGACCAATACCGCCTGGCCCGTTCTCCCCAAGTCTAAATACACTCTCGATCACGCTCAGCTCTGTAGCAGTTGTGTCCAGACCCGTTACGGCAAGCCAGTCGTTGACAACCAAGCCTGCGCCAACGACGGGACTACCACGATTCACCGAGCCAGCAACGAGGGGGACTTGGAGGAGGGAGGAGAGTTCATCCTGATCACGGACCGAGGTCTTGGGGTGAACGATACCACCCTGGTTTGAGAGTGCCATGTATGACCCTGTCAGGACGTTGTCGGCAATTGTTTGGCGGAATACTTCGACGCCCAGGGTATCAGCGATACTAGTAGTTGTTAGCACACGTTCTCTTGGAGGCCTTCTTTTTCCTGGGGGTAATGTACATTTCTTCCGTCTCACGCTCCAAATCCGGATGAATGAGGGCTACATGGTCGTTACAACAAATGACGTTTCCGAGCGCAGACAGACGCTCTTCTATGCGTTGGACTTTGACTGCATCTGGGAGGGTGTTTCGCAGATGTTGTAGTTCTTGGTCTGTTGTTGTCTGAGGGACGAGGAGACCTTTGCGGTTTCTGCATGCAGGTCGTCAGTACCAGTATATAAGCATATATCATTGGATATGAAGGACAACGCACCCTGCGGTTAAACGACCGATGATACCTGTTCCTGCGATTGTGGCATGACAGATGGGGATGACGTCTTGCAATTCGGCCTCGAATACACTGCATCGCCAGTTAACATCGGGACTGGTCAAAACTGCGGCGAAGAACCGGAGGAATTACCTGTAGAAGTTTTCCGAAGCACCGACGGCCACGAGGGCGTATGAGTTGGTAAGTCGTGAGTAAACACCAATCCTGGTATTCAATTAGCCCTGTTGACCCAAATTGACGATAACAAGGAAACACACTCGTTGGAGTTCTCAAATTGAGCACGGACAGCCATGATTGAGATCTTGTATGCGAGGAACTGAGGGGAAAAGATCGTCTAAGAATGGGAGCGGGGTACGGCGGGAGAGGTGAGAGGGCACTGCAGTGCGTAGGGTGAGGAGGGGATGGAGAGAGAGAAAGAAAGAGGGTAGCTTATAGATATTAGTGAATAAAGATGAGAAATTCACTGCAATATGAAGAAAGAGACGGGGCAGGTAGATATACCAGCGCAGAGACAAGGCTGAATCTCAAAAATAAAAAAAGCAGAAAAGCTCATGCCACACCGCCTGCCTAACTAGTACTGATATGGCGGAGCCCAAGGAGTCATTTATGCAGTCATCTCCCGCTCCGCTGTGACTCATTCTGAGCCACTCTGAGTGTCGTTCCTCTCTCTAAAAAGGTGGTCAAGTCTCTCAATGATAAAGAAAATTAAATATCAGACTATGCAGTACATGATAGCTAGCCTAACCAACGCCGCAGTCCCTGCTAATCCCAGAATCCCAACGTCCAATAAATCTAGTAGAACAGGTGGTAATTAAGTAATTCAATACATCTCAATACGGTGGTCGAGGTGGCGGTGGCGGCGCATAGTATATACCCGGGTGGTGATGGCCGGTCAAGTAGCCTGGTAGAGGAGGCCGTTGGAAGTTGGAGCCTGGTGGAGGAGGGAGCTGCGGAGGTCCACCCCGGGGCGAAAATGGATCAGGGAGGCCAAGAGGCTCACTAATCGGCGGAATCTGCTGTCCCGCAGGAAGGAGCCGCCTCGGTTGGCCTCGGGGCGTGGGCGGAGGCAGCACGAATGGCCGGGGAGGTTCAGGATGTGCATGATGTGGCGGCGGTTGAGGAGGCTGAGGAAGGATGGCGCGATGGGGTGCAAGGCGCGGCGTATGCTGTGAGAGGGCAGGTCGGGGAATCTCAGCGGTAGCGACATCCGCCAGGGCCGTTAATGCTGTAGGTCGGACATCCACAAACGATGAAGGATGATGCTCTTTCACAGCAACACCATCTCGCACTTCAACGATTCCCGTGGCTTCTAACAACAGATTTATGATTTCACTACCAGAAAGTCCGGCAAAAGGGCCCGCGTCTCTTATCTCCTTCATCTGTGGATTAATGTCGTCGCCCAGTTTGGCCCGTTGAACAAAGTCATCCCAGCCCAGTGCAGCACGTTCATAGGACGCAGCCCCAGCTGGATCACGCACGAATGAGGAGTTGAATCCGCGGTATATTTCACGAGTAACAGGCGCCCGCCGTCCGCGTTCGTTTTCTGTTTCAGAGCCGTCGGTCTGCAGAATTTTGTTTTAGAAGGGGTCATATTCATCCACGGAAAGGGACATACCTCAGTGTGCTCATCATCTTCCGCCGCGCGACGGCCCTCGATAAACGTCATGTATTCACCATGACTCGTAAGAAGATGTTCCTCCTGGATATTACGGGCCGAGATCTTTGTGACTTATTAGTCGGTTCTAAGACTGGGGGCCTGCAATACTTACTCGACACCGCTCCTCGATAGCTTCCTTGTTAGCCTGAAAGATCCTGTTCTCCTGTGCTACCTTGAGATCGTATTCTCGTCTCAGAGTATCCTGTTGTTTGCGCAATTGCGCCCCCAACTTCAACATAATGTCTTCATACTCGGGAACGGCTTTATGCGCATTCTTGTCACGAGCCAGGCGTTTCTCAGACTGTGTAGCAAGAACTGCCAATGCTAGTCGCTGGGCCGCAGCTACCCTTCTGAACGCCTTGTCCAATTCGCGCTGGCGGTCCCTCAGCTTTTGAGTAGCTGCACTTGGTGAGGGTGACCGCTCGAACTCTATGTCACTAGAACGATCATTCTGACGCCCAGTGCGCCCAGATCGCGCAGCACGGGTCCCACCACGTCCTCGCCTGTTCACACCAAATCGCGCCGATGTTCTACTGCGAGCTCCCCGACCACGGCCACGAGTACGACCCCCACGGGTTGCCTTTGCAATGGTTGACTCCGTAGCGTTGTCTGGCGTGGTAGAATCTTCAGCCTCTTCAGTGATTTGGCGAGATCCTTCATCCGCTTTCGAAGTTGCGACATCATCGGGTTGAGACAATGTATCTTCTAGTCGGCGCTCATCGCCATTATGCAGTGCCGGCTCAGATGCACGATCCAGCGTGGCATCTTCTAATTTTGGCTTTTTGCTGGGTGAGCTGGAGGTTGACAAAACGGCTCCGCGATCATCTGATTCGAGAGATTTGCGTTTTCGTGACAAAATTGGGCTTGACCTGGTTGAAATCGGCTTTAGGTCTCCTTCGATTTGGGGAGCTCCATACCCTTCTATCTTGTTCGGCTGACCGGAAGACACAGTGCCCTTTGGTGACCCTTCGGCTGGCGGAGTTGGTTCCGTGTCATGGAAAGTGTCAACATCCATCGGATATGGCGCATCAACCGCCTCGGAATTGGCGTCTTCGGCAGACGGAGATTTCACGGCCGAAGTCGAGGGACGACTGCGAGTAGATACGTTGGTCCCTGAGTCGCCAGTTTGCCGATTGCGATTTCTAGTTCTCGTATTGGACGCAACAGAATTCAGTGGGCTGGTTTCAAATGGTTTGGATGCCGCCGAAGTATCTGCGACTCCATTTTCGGTAGGCATTTCATGAGCATTGCTTTTGAGTCTCGTTGACTGCCTCGTACTTCTCGGAGTCTCTTCGGCCACCGAACCCCGTTTGACGCGCTTAGTTCGAGGCGTCTCGGGAGCCGCAGAGGCGAACGGTGTACCGTCATATCGGCTTGAAATTGATTGAGCCGCAGGAGCCGCAGGGGTGGCGGAAGCAGCAGCCCGTGCTCGACTGTTCCGCGTTTCACGAGTGTTGGAGCCAACGCTGGTAGTGGCCGCGGCGGCCGAGGGAGTCGCAGGATTTAGACTTGCTTTACCAGGCCCGTATTTGAGCGTAATAACACGCGACGGACGGTTGTTATCGTGCTTGTTAGTGGTGTTACTGGTATTGTCGTTGGTGTTGTTATTCTGGATGCTAGCACCCCTGCTAGGAGCAGGGTTGGCAATCTTAGCATCATCATTCTGACCGGCACGCGCATCTCGGCTCGAACGCAAATTCCGAGTCACGCGAGTGCTGGGAGAATCATTGCCAGTAGGTTCTACGAAATATTAGCCCTGCAATAATGGTACGAGGTAGAAACTTACCTTTAGGGGTGTTGTGAACGGCGGCTGTATTATTGGCGGATGGGGTGGCTGAGCTGTGAGCAGCATCAGGCCTTCGTTTGACTCCTGCCATCGCGTTCCTCTGGGGTTGTTGTTAGTCTGAATGTGCCCAGGATTGTAGACGAGAGACTCGTAGAGCACGCGGATTGACAGTGACGATGAACTTGGGACTTGTGTGGTGGGATACTAGACAGATGAAGGGAGAGGTTTGGAAGAAAGTGTGACTGAAAGCAGATGAGGCAATGGGGGACGGAGAAACACATCAAGATAGAAAAATGAGAAGAAGCAAGAGAAAAGTGTTACTTGGGAGCAGTGAATAGAATGCAGTGGCTGGAGTACAAGACGCTTGTCGGGTATTCTAGAGGAGCAAACAGCAGGTAGGGAAAAGAGAGCGAAAAAAAAAAAAAGAGCACAAGGAGCGAAGGGAGGAGTAAGTGGGCGTCAATACATTCAGCGGGCATATCCCAATTCTAATGAATGGGTGAATAGTGGATGAACAGCAGGAGGAAGGAGAGATCAAGTGAAATAAAAAAAACAAAGCCAATGGGGAGCACAAGAGAGAGTAAAGGAAAAGGTAAAGCACGGTGCAGGCAGTATGCGGTGCAAGAGAAGCTTGCAAGGCAAATTCGGGGAGGACAGTAAGAAAGCCTTCGGATGGGGAGAGAAAAGGGAGAGGAGCTTACCTAGGCGAGGAAAACAGAGGCGCGACAGAGGCCTGAAAAGATACAAAAGGCGTGGAAGAGGCGGAGATGGAAAGCGATGGATTGATGCGTTGATCGACGACTGGGGAGGATGAGAAGCATGAAGGAAGTAAAAAGCGGGTGAGAGTCGGCCTTAGTCCACTTGGAAGTAGACGGGAGAATCCAAGGCTAACGCTGCTCCGGATGTAGAAACTGGCTGCTCCTGTCAATGCACAGAGCGCCCGGAACAGAGCTCAGGCAGAAACAGCCTGATAGAAGAGAAGTAATAGAGGCAGCAGAACAGAAGACAATCAAACTATCGCCGTCGCGCCGCGTAGCAGATCTCCATCGACTGCGAACAAGGCAGTGTTGTTGATGACAGACAGGGGAAGACAGCAGGGAAGAAGGGATGGGGCGATGGAAAAAAGACCAAGTGGAGACAGGAGGGAAAGAAGCGCGACAGAGCTAATCTGCGGGTGGAAAGCTCATCAATCCAACGGCGCGACAGAGCAAAGATGGGAGAGAAAGGAAGAGAAGACGTGATGATGAGGATAAGTGTAGAAGAGGAAATTTGACTGGGTCCGCAGCCGCAGCGAAGTCTCCAGTCGTTCCGGCGTGTGGCGCGGATCCGACTGCTGCCAACTATAGCTTCCAAAACTATACCGCGCCCAGTCTGTCCATGGCCTCATTACTCTCTATTGTAAAAAACCAGGCTACGTGTATTGTAGGATTATTAATAACACCTTCATCTAGCATTATTGTTTGTATAGCCCTGGTGTTGATCCTGCTATTGTTCACCCGATGATAACACTTTCCTGCCAGCTTCCCAGTTCTTGACAGTTTCTCCCTCCCAGACCGTAGTAATTTCCCTGATCCCAACTTAATTACCCGGTCCCGCTCTCCATGGTTAACACAGGGTGCTGGTTTGGATGATATTCCTTGAGCTTCTGCCTCTTACAGTTATTCATCTTGGTCGAGCATCACTCAAGCAATTGCGGCTGACATGTTCTAAGCGACCCTGTCACTGCTGAGGTCTCCAGAAGACTGGATCGTGCCCCAAGTGCTGACGCTATTAATATAATGGATAAAACCATGTCCAATGGCTTACTATTGCGGTGTCGCGGTGTGTACGGTGAGTCCACCTGTATGCAGAGGAGGCGCACGAATATGACCATGTGAGCGACACCAGCACTTTCACCCCACAATATCAAAGATCTATACAGTTAGAATTTGGGACGTGGGTATTTTCTGATCCCCAGCCTTCGTAAGCCTAACCAGAAGTCGCAAAGAACATTTATGAGAGAGATACGTACCGAGCTTAAATCCATCCGTTTCCGGGATGATACAGCTAAGTAGATTCTTTCAAGACATTTAAAGTCAATGCTTATTTTTCTGGCCTCGTTATCAACACCAATCGAAGCAGTGTATCGCGGGCATGGGACCTTCCACAACAGCTTGAACAGGTTCTTTGCAATGTTTGCTTCCCGTTTAATCTCTTCCTTGCTCATTCCATCAAATAAATCAAAGAAACATCGGGGACTATGGAGGTCATACTCCACATCTCCCCCTTCTTATAATAGCTCCTGCAGGCTAATCAATTGAGAGCTGCTTTGTGAAATACGCTTGAAACTCCCACCAGAAGTGGCTAGCCTCTAAAACATTTAATCTACAGCATCTATTATTGTTGGGAGATTGCTACTCTGGCCTCTCAACAGTAGACCGACTACTTTGCCGCAAGTGACGTGACGAGGTCTGCCCAATATCAGGAACTTTTGCTACGGGCAGTGTGATGCGAAGCTGGATAGGTCCAGGGTCAGCAAAGGGCTTGCCGATATGTCTCGAGAACACCAGGTGATCTTGATGAAATGGATCATAAAGTTGTTATATATAGTATTTTTCTCCGATTTATCAAAGGCGATGTTGAGGTTCTGTGTAGGCTGCTAAGGCATCTGAGACGGATCTAGAAGAAGCGGTGATGTGTGGCGACTGTAGAGGGAAGTTTCTGGATTTCGACTATGGTGAGTGCGTTTGAATCGTGTTTCACCGATTGCTAGCTATGACCAGCTTGTGCTTGGTCAATTATAAATACTAGTAGAGTACTGGTGCCAGTGGTGTAGTTACTATACACCGGCGGTAACTAACTATGTATGGTAAGTTACTTACCTAAACATACCTTGTCAGAGCCACATTTTATACTTATTTTCACGGCAGCTCCATCCACATCTCAGCACAATAAACACTACCTATACCACCACCTCATCAAACTCAATTACCAATTCTGAATCAAGACGAGAAAAGAGAGAACAAAATGCCAATCCGACCGCCCACAAAATCCGACTTCCCGTCCTCTCTAACATTCACCCTCACCCCGCAACCACCATCACCTCAATCCCAATCCCAATCTCGCCCACCACCAAACATCCTCCTCCTCCTCCACGGCCTCGGCGATACCCACACCCCTTTCACAAACCTCGGAACCTCGCTCGCGCTTCCCGAAACAACAGTCCTCACAATCCAAGCGCCCAACCCACTCCCCCTCGACATCCCAGGCTTTCACTGGGGCGACGATATAAACTTCGATTCGCGCACGGGCGCGCTAGACATGGACGCGGGGTTTGCGAAGACGACAAAACTCCTCGTTGAAAGCGTCATAAAGTCCGTGCTTGTTGGAAAATGTGGATATAAGCTGCGTGAGATTATGGTGCTGGGATTTGGACAGGGCGGCATGGCGGGTCTCATTGCCGCGGAGAAGATATTTGCGGAGGGCGTAGGTAATGGGTCTGGTTCTGAAGAAGGAGGAGGGGGAGAAATGAGGGAATTGGCCGGGGTTATCTCTATAGGTGCAGCGTATCCGCTTTCGCTGGCTGGGAAAAAGAGTACTACTACTGGCAGTGACCAAGGGAAGAGCCGGACGCCTGTTTTGGTGGTTGCGGGCCGGGACTCGGAGGTTGTGACGGAATCTGCGATGAAGAGGACGAAGGATGTCTTCCAATTTGTGGAGATGCATGAATATAGGAGGCGTGGGGATACGATGCCGCGGAGTCGGGATGAGATGCTTCCCATAATGCGGTTCTTTGGGAGAAGGTTACGCAGTTGGCAGGGTGTTCCGGAGGGGAGCGTCGAGCTTTCTTAAGGGGGGGGGGGGGGGAAGTTTATGGAGTGATGGTTACAGTGATTGAATTGGGATATGGTACATGTTTCTTGGTATTAGTCTAGTGTACGTTGTCGAGCGCTTCCCGGGCCTTTGTGATGGCTCTTCGGGCTTCATGTGCCGTTGCGGGAAGCTGGACCCGTCCGCCTTCGTGCACGGTTTTGCGCAGTTGCTCTTCTGTCTTGAGAAGAGCGGTTCGGCCGTTGTCGCGCACTTCTTCTTCCCAGAATGTCCGTGCCGCTTCCCATTTCCGCTGTTGCCGGCGCAGCGAGTATATCAGCCCGACGGCTGCGAAGGTGCAGGTTTCGTATACCGAGGCTGTTGGTAGCGAAATGTAGGTCAGTAGGGAGAGAGCAGAGGTCAGTGATGTCGTCGATACGCTGAAGAGCACCAGGCGTTGCGCCATTGCCTGAAGCGATGGCACCGTGGTGTTGAGTAGATGCGCGCGGCTCTTGGTGATTTGCGTGGGCCATGGCATTTGCTCTTCTTTCGGGGGCTCCACGACAGCCACAGAGACGTCTCCGCTCTTGCTCTCAACCACTCCCTCCGCGGGAGCCTTGATGTCTAACGACTCTTGCGCTGTCGGTTCCTGCAGGCCAGCCTGCGCGAGTTGACCAGCGGTCCATATCACCTCCTTTTCGGCGCGACGCAAGTACTTCTTCTCTAGAATCTCGGAGGTAATCATGCTCACGTCATCGACGCGCCAGAATAGCTTCCACCATGCCAAACCACGCCATTTCTTCGTTGCGAACCCTTCCTCAAGCGCGCCACGCAGTTCCGTGTGTCCCTTCTCAGCCCACGCGGAAACAGTTTGATCAAGGTCTGCTCGAACATCTTCAGAAACAGAGGCCTCTCCTTGTTCCCGGACTCTCTTATTTTCTTGTGCCACAACACCTTGCTCTGCAGCATCAACCAGGGAGCTTATAAGTGATCTCAAAGACGGAACTAGAGTCCCTTCTTTGCCACGAGCAGACGATAACCAGTCCACAACTTGCTGCACTCCACTGCTATTCCATCCACGTTCATACAGGGCGGCATTTCGCACAGATTCCCGGAATTTGGACAGGGCATCGTCCGCCTTGTTGGTATCCACAAAAGCAATCCGACCGTCATTGATAGGACCAGTAACTCCCATCTCGACAGCTGCGTATATGGAATCTGCCTCTTTCTTTAGGTCAGACTGGGCAACCAACCCGCTGTAAGCGAGTAATCCGTCCACTCCCTGCGCGCACACAATGCTCCTGTGCACTGGATATCGCACCATATTATGCCGTCCCGTATGCGAAGTGGGAATTGTCACCGTTGGAACAAAAAACGTATCCGACGTTAGCTGCGCAGCGGATGTGTCGGCTCCCGCGCCTAGAGTCGTAACCAAGATTTCCAAATTGCCCTTCTTCAAAATCTGCGACGGGACGGAGATAGTAGGCACAAGGTGGTTCGAGATACTTTCCGAGACTTCCCCGTATCTGCGACAGTTAGCCTAGTCAACTAAAAGAAGAAATCAACATGATGAACTGCATACCTAATCAGCAACCCTCTCTCTAAATCCCCCTGCTCAAAAACGGAATCCAGCATATCCTCCCAATCTTCTTTCCCCTTCAATGGGTCAGCTAATAGAAGCCTCACGAGTTTTCGCGCCGATGAAACATCGTTTAAGCCAAGAACTGTCCACCCAACAAGTCAACTAACAACGCCACGCCAACAGAAACCAAAATTTGCTAGGATGGAACGGATAAAACCTACCCGCAACTCTTATCAAAGGATCCTCCGACTCTAGTCCACGTAGCGCCAATTGCAGCCGACTTATATTGACCTGTTCTGGCGCAACGCTCGGGATATGCGCGAGGGACTCGTACAGTTCCCTTAATCGCGGGGGAACATGGCGGGCTGTGTGGATAGTTGATGGGGCGGTCGAGAACAATTTCGAGCTTGCGAGGGATTGCGGGTGTGATTTTAGGTTCTGCAGCTGCGCTTGCGGTGGTATTTCCGCACGGAGTCGAGGAGAGGAGATGGCATCGTGGTGGTTGCTCCGACGCGTGGAGAGGGCTCTACGTTGCTGGGTGCTGGCACAGGATGGGCAGGAGTGTAGCGCTTTCGTTATTGAGTTCCTCTTACGCGGTATGCTCTTGGGGAGCGAGCCGCGAAGCTTGAGAGGCATTGAGGGGTGATTGTGCCGGTTAGGGGGGTGGAAGTTGGGACAGGATTCTTGATCATTATTATCGGATGAAGTTGGCAGCGGGTCTTGGCGGGAATGGCCCGCCAGCCTCTCCGCGTGTTACCGCGCCAATATTTACAAATCTGTATCAAGTAAAGGACAACATGTTTTAACTTTTTTTTGCTATTCTTGAACGAGGGAAATAGCATAAGGTAAATATTCATAATGTGATTCATCAACTCATAGTGCCAGCGTCGCAGACGTTGGAGCCTCTGTGCAGGACATACAGTAAGCCGCCCGAGCTTGCATCCTCAGTAACAATATCAAATACAGGTTCGTGTATCTCATCCGACAAATTAAAAGCGCAGAGGCGCAGCAAATTACACCATAGGTGCTCCATGATGAATAGACAGACACCCCTTGTTTTTTCGAACACCATTTCACTGTCCCACACACGGGGTTTCTAAACAGCCCTGTGGTCACCAAACCACAGCGATCGAGGGAGTATTCGTGTTAAAATGACGTCTATAAAGGCCTGGATTAAGTCGGGTCGATATCCAATTTTTCGTTATCATGCTTCTAATCCCGACCACCGATGTCCGGGCGGGGCCGACGACCTTTTGAGCCAGCGGACCTACGTAGTATTAGTATTTACTATCGAGACGGATACGAGGAAACTCACATGCTAATCCGCCTGGCAACTGTGGCGAGGCCGGTGTCGTTGTCGGCTTCATGGGCGGCGCGGTCAAGCGCAATGCGTCTTTCTTCTTCGCTGCGTCGAACCACCTCCTCATGAGTTGGCGGGAGACGCTCGTTCTGCAGATCAACTTTGCGGGCGTCTTCGAAATTAGTGATAGCCTGTTTGATTCCTTCCGCTCCTAGCATCAGAGTACCCGCAGGAAGCCGGCCTCCGGCGGCGGTTTTGAGTTCAGTAACCCGCTCAGACTCCTCACGCAACACCTGGAAGACTCGAGACAACCTGCCAATGGCAAGAATCTTGTTCTTGATGGCACGGCGCTTGAATTCGGTGCTCTCTGTATCCATTGGCATCGGAGGGGAGGGTTCGGCAGGTGAGATCGTTGATGGTGTTTCGTCTTCAAGCTCCTCTTTGGAGCAAGTGTTGAGGATGGCGATGAGCATGTCGGTAATCTTTTCACCAACAAATGGGAGCGACCAGGTGAACACATCCATAAAGTTGGGCAACCAGTAAGGGTGAGGGGTGCAGTTGAATTGCCGAATGTTCATGACGTTGTTTTCATACTTCAGAACGGCGGCTTTGTTGTTGTATACATCCAAATAGTTCGGAGCGCTGAAAATGGTCATGACACTGGGAAACCCTGTAGTGCGAGTCTTGCGATACATGCGGTAGCCTGCATCCTGGGCTTCATGGGCACGAATGACGGAGAGCAAGTTGTTCTTCTCTAGGAAAGCACACGCGGCTGGGTAGGAGAAAAAGTACGAGCATCCTCGAACACTGTTGTGGATGAAGTAGTCGCCAGTTTTTTCTTGGCCGAAGTCTTCCAGGGGATCTGCCCAGAGGATATCGCACATAAGGCCGTGGGTAGGCGGTTCTCTAAATCGATCAATCTAGTTAAGTTAGCTTGGGTGTCACTTGATATGCATGCTTTTCTGGTTCCAACAACTTACCGACTTGATATCTTCCAAGGTATGCAATTCGGGACTCAACCCTCCGTGGATGCAGAGGAATTGCTTGTTCATGACCGCCGCCAGCGGCAGCGCGCAAAATGATTCGATGCAGGCTTCGTAGATGGTCTCGCTATATTTGTGCTTACACTCCAACTTGAAAGTGAAGTAATCCGTCAAGTGTCGGCATTCGTGATTGCCTCGAAGCAGCCAGAGAGTGTTCGGATACCAAATTTTCAGTGCCCAGAGGTAAAGGACACACTGAAAATGTTAGAATGACCAAGCGGATTGGGAACACGTTGAACTCACCTCAATGCTGAAGTAACCGCGATCGACATAATCACCCAAGAATAGATATCGTGTCTCCGAGGGGTCTCCTCCGACTTCAAACAGCTTCATCAGATCGTAGTACTGCCCGTGGACATCACCGCACACAGTTATGGGTGCATCCATCTCTAACAGGTTGGGCTCCGACTTCAGTACTTCAGTGCCGGTGTGTATAATCCATAACGCCTGGTCCTCAGTGAGGCGACCTTCCCGATAGAAGTGTTGCTTAAGAAACTGCAGGTTCGGTTTTGTTTGGTCTTCAGGATCCCAAAACTGCTCGTCTGTTGGGGTCTGCAGTGCGGGTGCTTGCACCTCTAGAGGAAATCACCTTGATTAGAAAGGCTTGACTTTGGGCAGGACGATTGAAAGTTAGTGTACTGCTACTACACACCTTTGACGACGCGTTCCAAGGTTGACACCTGCGTGCCATCTTCCATCACATGGAGGGTGAAATCAATCTCCGGGACCGGGGGCTTATCGGTCACAGCTCGGGCGATATTCTTATCCATCCTGGGATCCATCTTGGGCAATGGCGAAATATCTCGGGCAAGACAAATCGCAGGAATCTAGACACCTCGGAGATAGATCGAGACGAGGCAAGCCGAGCGGGGGGGCGAGAGAGAACGGAAAAGGGGAGAGGAGTTGGCGTTGGCGGTGGTGGGGTTAAGCGCGGCGGAATTTCCAACACACGACAGAAAGAGAGTTGAGGCGAGAATGGCGCCAGGAACAGGTTTCTTTTGATCGTCACGCGATAGGCTGCTGGCGAACCATGTTCTGCTGGGGTTGTCGATATCCAAGAAGATCCAACTTGCGGTTGTGGAGGAAGGAAACGAAGAATTTGAGGCGAAAATGGAGAAGCTGAAAGGTCCACGCAGTTAGTTTAGGTAGCTGGAAATGAGATGGAGGCTGGAGGCTGGCCTAACAGTTCTTAATCAGCGCCCCTCTGGAGTCCGGATCTAAGGCAGATGCTCTTCGCAGACAGACTAATTTAATCTCCAAAAATTACTGGACCCTTATTTGTGGTATACACCTGTGTTCTCAGCTTGGTCCATTCTCACCTGCTTCTGGCTCGGTAATATCGTCATTTTCGTCGGCGTGGGGAGCCACCGTTTCCACCGTAAACCCCCCATCTCCATCAACCCTCGGTTTAGGTGAATGAGGTTTATTTGTCCTTTGTTACTGTCCTCATCATGATGTACGAATCATACCGTGCGTGTTCCCTGACCACTTCCCCCGCATAACCCTGACCTAATACAAGCAAGGGCCCCATCCGCTGCTCGCCCAGGTCCCATTAACTGTCTCCCCATTCATCAACCTCCCCAGCACAGTCACCCTCCCCTACACCTACAAATCTGTTCCATCGACGCTTCCTCCTTCTGTCACCGTCGACCCAAGCAATCCCGATGCCAAACCTCGTTACGTCATCTCAGCCAGCGGGGAGCATGCTGCATCCCCAGAGGACATCCTTGCCTCGTGCAAGGCACTCGAGCAACATCTGAACAAGACGAATACCGACGGCGAAAAGGCAATTAAGAATTGGCAAGAGTCAATTTCCGCGCGAGATCTCGCAGAGAAACGCCGTGTAGCCCCCGGTTGGCTCGATCGCGACGAGAAGCTTCTACAGCCGAGTAATGCATCGCATCGCCTTTCACAGGCGCAGCCAAACCAGAGTTTACTAGATAGTGTTGCTCCAGACTCACCTGCCGCAGAGTTGCCATCCATGGCTCCGAGGAATGAAGGCGAGGAGCTAGATAGAGCTTTTGGCGGTCTCGACATGAAGTGATCGGTATAGCTTCGTTGAATGAATGGAATATTCACTGGCTACCGACCCCTTGCTCTGGCCTCGGAAGTTTTAACGGCTGCTGCGGATGATTGCATGTTTCAATCGTTAGTGAGACGGCTCGGAGGATGGCTCATGCACTGGCCAGTGTGCTCTCTGTTCCGACTGCACAGCACCGACATGCCATGGAAGGAGTTGTGGGCTGCAGGGAACGAGCCTGCACACTGCTAGCTACTGTATATAATGAAACCTAAGGTTTACGAACGACACGAATATTACGTTTAATATGATTCAACAGCTTTATTAAGTATTGATAGGTGGATAAATACCGTAGTCATGTTTGCAGCTTATTGTCTTGCGTTTGCGGCGTCCAAGATACCTTGGGACTGGTGGCTCCGCTCTCCGCCGCAGCTCCGCCCAAGCTTCACCTCAACTTTTCCGCTCCGCAATTTCCATCCTCCATCCCATATCAAGCAAAAGGGAAAGAAATCAAGCACAATGGAGCCCTTAACATCGGCTCCCGAGACATCTGCCTTTGTCCCTCTCTCAGTGCATCAATCGCGCACACCAGACTCCTTCCACTCCGGCCCCGCAGTCCTGCACTACCACGCCTCGAACTGCAAGCTCGTCGGCCTCGAGCGCGACCTCTCCTCGACACCAGCACTTAATGCTCTTCGTGGCGCAGAAGTCAATGGGTCAATCTCGAGCTCCGAAAACCAGCAAGGCAACGATGCGAATGGAGGCGAAGGCGAAACCGAGAAGGAAGTCGTCATTGAGGGGTTAGATGTCTGGGTAACTTCCGAGTATGTCGCAGATACTTCCTCCTGCCCCAATCCAATCATAGATTGGCTAACCAAAATTGACGAGCAGTAAGTTTCTCCTCTATAAGCCAAGCGTCCCCATAGGCCTCTCAATTCCCTACCGATCCATCTCGCTACATGCGATCCAGCGCCTGAAGATCCCCGCCCAAGACCAACCGACCGAAGTTCAAGGTCTCTACATGAATATCACGAAACCACAATCTCCCGCATCGTTCCCACAGGAATCCGATGAAGAAGAGACCCTCGCTCTGACACTTGTGCCTCCTACAACTCCATCGTCCGGGGATACAAATGCAAACACAGACGCGGAACCCGAATCGGAATCACAGACCCAAACGCTCTACGACGCCGTGTCGGCCTGCGCAAATCTTCACCCGGACCCCGTCGAGGAGGAAGACGAAGATAGCGGTGCTTTCGCCTCTGGTCTTGTTTTCCCCGGTGCCGCAGAGGGTGGATTGCCACCTCCAGTGGATGGGAGCTCTGGGTGGATTACGGCAGATAACATGCACGAGTTTTTCGATGAGGAGGGAAATTGGATTGGGGAAGGAGATGCGCCGGGTTTGCCAGGCTTGGGAGAAGGCCTTGGACCTGGCGCCGGGACTGTGAGGGAGAGAGATGAGGAAGGGGATGAGCCGGGTGGCACTGAGGGGGAGGATGCTGGTGCGGATGGGGATGAAACGAAATGGAGGAGGACTGATTGATTTTATTTTTTTTTTTTTTGCCCCTTTTCGTGACTAGCATGGGAATGAGTACAAACAAGTGAACCGGGTAGCTCGTCTAGATATTTTCGGGTTCCAGAGGCATTATTCAATTACTACCTAGTTAACGGTGCTCATAACAGATTCTCGAACATACAATCAAGGTGGGGAATAATAATGAAAACGCTCCTAAACTACAAGTTAAACACCTTGCATCCTATTCCTAGATGAACATAAACAAGGCCGGTGGGATGTGGAAAATTCACTCTTTCAGAAACCCATCTCCATCGTACAGACTCCCAGGCGTAGTTGCGCCGATTCCCAATCCAACTGTTTTCTTAGGTGTTGTATAGCCGTGCTTGTTCCGATAGCTTGCCATGCGCGTCATTTTGTCAGCCTGACTACGTTGTGGTGATGTTTCCCTCTTGACATCCAAATTAGGGGGGCTATAGACAAGGGAGACGGTTGATCTCCGCGGCATTGCCTGAGAATCCTGTCTGATTTTGTCCTCCCATATCGGGACTATCGCGCTAACTTGTGCTCCAGGAGTCTTGTTCGCGATACTCGTAGATGATGAACTCGTGGTGTAGTTGGTGGCTTTTTCGGTGTCAGACTGGCTCTGGCTCCGCGGTGGTTGGTCTTTGGCTTCGGTCTTGGACCGTCGGAGAGATAACGGTGGCTTCTCATTTGACTCTTTGGTGCTGCGAGTTTGTGGTGGGCGATTAACTTTGAGTGGCGGAGGTGCCGACTTTGTATCTTCCGATGGGATCAGGGATTGGTAGCTATTGCGAGCAGGTTTGGGTTGGCTTCGAGGTCCCATGATCGCTGACCGGCGAGGGCTCCCTAGCGCTGGTGAATTCTCCAATGTTGTGGGTGAGCATTGATAGTCTGAAGTCTTCCATGCAGGTGGCTCTCGCTCTGGAGATGGAGTATGGGACAAACTATCTTTATCTGCAGTCGCTGGCAAGCTTATGAGAATACCAGGTAAAGCCTTCTCAGTGACTAGACCGGGGTCTTGTTGTGTCAGCCTTTTCTTCTTAACCGGGCTACCGTAGGAGTCTGCCTGGCCATCATCAGGAATCTCAGTTATTCGAGAGATTGGGCGGTCCGACTGGAAATCCTGGATGCTGTTTCGAAATGTGGTAGACAAAGCGGAAACACTGGAGTTGCGTGAGATATTCGACATTGACAGATCAGATATATCGGACCGGCCGAGCTCCAAAGTATTTATTTCCTCTGGTTCCTCTGGCTCCTCGACCATCGGGGAGAATGCAGGTCCTGCAAATGTTATAGGAGGGTGGATGGAGATTCGCACGCAATTTTGTCGCCTGTGTCCCTTTCGATGCCCACTGCTCTTCATAGCTGATGCTAGAGGCGGTTTGGGATGCCCATTTGATGCTTGAGATGACAGCTCCTGAGGTACAAAGCTGCTTGCACGTCTTCCTGGGGCATACGTGTTGTATGTAAAGCTATGTGATGAGACCGTCCCACCGTAAAAGGGGTCATTATCCCTTCTTGGACCGCCGTGCACTGAGTGGCGCTGCATCTGGCTGAAATGGGGCAGCAAGCCGGCCTTGCCGCCCCTTGTATTCAGTGGAGGAATATTGTCCATGTCAAGATGTGGCTTGGAGGTTGTATCTTGGGGTTGTTTGGCGGACAAAGACTCGCTTCGCCTGGGTGGTGGGCTTATCCGTTCGGACGAACGAGATGGACTGCGTGCAGTCAAGCTGCGGCGAGGAGAAGTACGCTCATATTCCACCCTTCGGCCTTTGCGCGCAGGAGAGTTGGGGGGAAAGACGAATGGAGCGCCATTTGGCCCAAGGTTTCTGCGTTCGTACTCTCGTCCAACGTCATTTGCACTGTATGGGGCAAATGTTGGACAGGGTGGTAATGCAGGGGATATGAAGTTGCCATCAATGTTTACGGATGCCCTTCGGCTATCATCTAGAATCGAGCTATCTGCCGTTTCAAGGCTCACAGACGAGTATCGTAACGAGTCGGCCTTCGATAAGCGGAAACGATTCGGGGGGTATGCACAAGGTGGAGGCGGAACGGGCTGGTCTGGTGCTGTTCCGGCGGTTTGGGATGTGATGCTGCCACCACGAGTTCTGGATCTGGTTGGGTCGTAGCCTGTGTAATGGTCCTCAAACACGGGGAAAAGACCACTGGATCGATCCTGCTGGTGAAGCAACGGCCAGACTCCTGTCACAGGGCGGATCGAATTTCCTGCACTCAACGGTGCGTCCTCTCTCTCTGGTGTATGCCTGGGGGTTGTCTCCGCAGGTAGCTCCAATATTCCATCAACTGCCGAGACAACCAAGTTGTCTCTTGAATCCGACACTTCTGGGGGGTGTGGTGCTTCGGAGGCCTCCTTCAGAGTCGTTAGGGATACATTTTTCGTTAGGTTTTTGGATAGTTGTTTTGACTTTGACGATAGAGAGTGTTTGAGGGAGAAGCTGCGCGTCTTTTTGAGTAGTTGAGTTGGTGACTTGTCCCCGGCGGATTGATCCAGACTTTCCCTTGAAGATAGTAGGCCCCATTCCGTCGGTCTTCCGTATGGGAGTTGTCCATATTGTCGTAGTGCGGAGCCTTCTTCGCGCGACAGCTCCGTGAACGTTTCAGCGGGGAAAGTCGAAAGTCCATGAGCATAGGAACCGTGAGCAGTCCTTATTAGCGCAAGCGACCTTCGCTCCTGACGAATCTTGATCCAAATGATAGTGATGACCACTGCGGAAACCATGAAGATAACCGAGCAGGTAACTGCTATCGCGACGGCGGTTGTCAACGCGATCATGATGAAAGATCTTTTGCGATTGTTTCGAAGGTAATAGGCCAATACTGTCGCGAAACAATCTATATGGATATTTCAACCTTCCAGGCCTTCCCTCTTCATCGCCTCCGCGGGACGATGAATATTCCGTATTGCTGCAACGTACAGGCCAACGTGTGCATAAAGATAGGAAACAAACTCAAGCATAGCAGTGACAGCGGAAGAGGCACTTCAGGGTGGGCGATGGCGTTTGTTGTGTAAGAGGCCAAGGAATGTGCCCGCATTGCGGACTGAGGCGTGAGGAATGCGAAGGTGGTTATCCATCCCTTGTAAAATCCGAGATATGCCGGAACTGGCTTTGTAGATGGCATGTAGCGGCAGGATTTTTGATGATTTTGTGGGTTGAGCATTCATTCTGTGGACAGAGGGCAGCCGATCAAGGAGTTGTATTTGGGGCATAGTCGATTGGAGCATAAGTAGATAACACAAAGTAACTTGTATGTAACTATAATACTTTCCGCTCAGGGATAGCCGAATCCACGTGTATCTCTATTGCATTCGTTTCCTAAGGTCAGTCAAAATGTCAGATGGCATGAGATGGCGCTGTCCAGCGCAAGCAGGATGGTGAGATGCCCTTCGCGCCAAAGGGCTGGTAGTTGATCCTTTGGTAGGGGATCGTGAAATAACTCGCCTCAAGATGGAGGTCTGAGCGCCAAACACACCCGATCCGACGCCTTCACGAGGCAATCCGTCCTTTCGAGCTTTTGAAGCGTTGACGGCGGAGAGCAACAAGCGCAAGCTCCATATCACGGTGGAGAAATGTTATGCCCACGCTATAATTACCGCTTTGGGAAAGTTATGACGTATATCTAAGTTATCCATGCCCGTGACCGACCCCCTCGTACCTTATTTTATTCCATTTTGCAGCATCAAACGCCAAAAGAGAACACAAGAAACGGCCTAGAGCGTACGAATTGCAGTGGCTGGCTGCTTCATCGTTGCATCATGGATCTTTACAAAGATCCAGGCCCCTGTCTACTTTAACGCCATGGCGCTGTTTTTCCCGAACCTGGGCTGCATAGCGCCACTCAGGTAGTCCACTGCAAGGCCAATCCAAAGCTTATTGAGGTGTCGATATAAACAAGACGCTCTTCGTCTCGGAGTCGGCTTGATTATCACCGGTATCTTTGTCAACCCTCCGCCGGTTGGCCCGGCCTGCAACTGGTGAGTGATCTGGTGATGGTGGCCAACAGAGTGCCTTTCAACCGGGTGGTCTATAAGAACGTGATCAGCCTGATCTTTGGGTATTTCTTCCATCTTTTACCTTTCAATCCTCTGTCTAAGCTCAGTCTCGCAACCTCTGGTTCATTCCGATTTCTATAAAGTCGTCGTCACACACTAGACATCTTCATCGCCAATACTGGTATTCCATGGACACAAGGCCCGCCCGTTGATGGTTCTCTTGGCCACTCAGCACGAGTTATCTTTGAGTGTTATAGGTAAATCATTCGCGGCCGAATGGGTTAAATTTGCCTGTGCCAACACCGTCTATGACGATAAATACTGATAACCCATAAACTGGTAGATAACGGTAGAATAGACGAGAAACAATACAAAACTTGGTCGTTCTACGCAAATTCCTGTCTAAGCTAACCTTCGAAGCTGGCCCTGGTCGAATCGCCAGCGTTTATCAACATCGCAGGACGGAGCAGGGTCTTCAATTCCAGAGACCCCCTTGCTCATAACGACAAGATTCAATACAATATTCGCTCTCCCCGGCTCGCACACTCTACGGCAAAAACAAATTTCTATGCATATATTCAATCGACCAATCAACCGAACCGATTTGTGACCAGGGTTCGTTGTCGTAGTCTTGAAGGCGGAGCATACCAAAACACACGCTGCCTGAGCACCACAGTCGTCGCGAAGGAAAAACAGACCATTTAAAAATTGGCGTTGCTGTAGATGTCTTCTGCTGTGTGTAATCTCTCGAATCTCCTCACTGCTCTTTCGACAAGTTTATGCACCCACCCTGTAGTTGCGTCCATGGCAGCCTCCATGTTGGCACCCTTGTGGTCAATGGGGGTGACGAGTCGGGCGTTGCGAAGGTCAGTGCTCTCCTCGTGTTGATAATATTTCTCCGATGTCAACTGGAATGGACGCGGGAAGAAAGACGTAACCGGGGACGGCGGTTCGAGAATGTGTTTGTAGATGAGGGATGTTGCAGGGTTGAAGTACTTTGTGAGAGTGAGGGTAGGGGTATCGTTGTCGTCGAGCTCTGAATCATCGGTTTCGGTCTCGCTGGACGTCGCGTGGCCATGGCCATTTGTTTTCATTTGCGAACTGCGTCTGGCTGAGTGTTAATAATTAAATCTTTTGTGAGTAGGAATATCCCCTGCCTGGGTTTTGTATATATAGTGTCGCAGGAGACGTTATCCACATACGATATATCTTCGTCGCTACCACCACCGACAAAACAATTATCGCCCTCGATCTTGTCGTCCTCATCAATTTTCATATACACCACCCCCTTTCGCCAGTTTTTACCAAAGCTGAAGTTCTCAACGCTGATCCTAAGGCTGCAGGGGAGGCATGACCATAAACCCCGACACAAGCCCGCGATATGTTTTCGGAGTAGGACAAGGATGAAGATAGATGAGATGGATAGACAGAACCAAGGAAAGAAGCCAATGAAGGATGATTGAGGCTCCTGAATCTGGGGCGCCGGTTGCGATAGAGATTGAGGCATGGTCTTGGTGTTCTTAGTATCGGATGGAATCTATACAAAGGCAGGCAAAGGGCAATGCATTTATGGCAATGTTCACAGGGCTCTGCTTTTATTTGTTATCTTTCCCCCCCACTTGAATAAGAGGGCGGCTTCAACCAGGTGTTCTGGGTGAGACTGGGTGGAAGTCAAAATTAATGTGAAGGAAATGAACTCGGCCATAGAGGACCAGGCAGGTAGAGTGAACACATCAAAGGCGAAAGTTGAACTTAATTCTATACTGCCATTTACTCTGACAAAAGATATCCAGAACAATAAAATACAATCCACAAAGACGCAGGAAGCGAGTTCTCAGCGGGATATGTGTGCGTGAGACAATACAAAACAAACCCCTTTGTCCATCTACAGCCATCCCCGCCTATATATAAACATGAGCAGAACCATCGTGCTAGAATACCAACTACCCAGAGAATATCAAAGCAAAATGGCCCAGCTCTCTCAAAAGCCCGCCCTCGCATCCTCTAGCAAACCAAAAATAATCACGCTTGCGATGCACACGAACAAGATAGCACAACCACCATCGACAGACCACGATGATTTCACCTGCACAAGCGCAGAGACATGCAAATTGATCCTTAAAGATGCGGCCACGCTATCCCTCTTTCACAGCGACATCCGCACCTTCATCTACGACCCGCGATTTAGCCCGCCGTTCTTCAATAACAACTATTTCCTGACCATGGAAGCGTCGTCTACCACATCTAGATCAACATCAAACTCTAGATCCATCTCACCAGCTTCGGTTCCTTTGCCGGATCCTGCAGCTCCAACCCTGGCTTCGAATTCTGTGTACGAGCATGAGTACGAGCAGGAGCAGGAGCAGGAGCAGGAGCAGGAGCAAGCGCCGGAACTCACAGCAATTATGGCGGCGATATCTTCCCAAACACTTGAAGACTACCTAGGATCCAGGGAGAATGATGTCGATTGGGATAGAGAAAGAGAAGAGGCGAGCACATTCGCGCAATACAGGGTGGATTGCCATGATTATTTGCATGGTTTGGCGATGGCGGAAGGGATCTCACTTGATCGTGCTTGGGATGAGATGCAGATTAGGAGGTGGAGATGGGGGTTATTGGAGGGACAGGCAAAAGGCGGTGCCATAGACACCATGAGCAGCAGAAGGGGGGCAATAGGCCGCTGAATATCGGGGATGATGTTTGAAAGATTTTACAATGGAGGGTAGATTACAGGCGTTATTGCACTTTTTTTTTTTTTTAAAAAAAAAAAATCATGAATCAAGGCCAGAATGCCGGTTAAATTGTTGAACGGAACGTCGGTCTTCCGCTTCATACCAAGCTAAACACAACTACCAGCAGCACTTTGACAGGACAATGATAGCAAATAAAAAACCCAGTTTTGATAGTATACGAACCAATAGAACCGAGATAGAGAAGAAATTCGAGTTTGACGCAGGCCAGAAGGACTTGATAACCAACCAAGAGATGATTATTAAGTCTTCACGCATATAGGAAAGAGAGATAATGAAGGTAGGTAAGCATATCGTTTCCGGTAGATCTATGGTCGATCCAAAGGACGGGCTAGATGAACTGATAGCGAGGGTATGTGGTAGAGTGGTAAACGGTAGCCGATATAGTAAGTCAGTTTGGTTCCAAGACAGAAAACACATTTATGCCGTTCGAGGGGCTTATGTCTTTTCTAGTCCGGTCATGGGGGTATCTTGGGGAGCTTCTGCGATGGATTGTTTGATATCGGACGGGTATTCTCGCGCTTCCGGTTGAACTTCAGCAGCGTTCTTGTTTCCCGTACGTTTGCGGCCCAGCCGCTCGCACCAGTGCTCAGCACTAACGAGAGTGTCGTTGACAACGCCACTGACCTGCGACATCATATCCAAGCCTTCCTGAGCAAGCACTAGGATCCGACGGGCACTGCTAGAGAGCTCGGAAGGTGTTCCGGACTCATCTGGTTTCGGGCAGGCAGTCGTTGCGACTTGGAATCGATGCGGAAGAGAAGTGAGGTGACGGCGCACGAGATGGCGCGCATTTTCGGGAAGTGCCCCACCGGCATACTTGGAGACAACATCTACCACCTGCTTCAGGGTGGATAATACATCGTGCCTTAGGGCCTGGATGCGCTGTGATAGTAGAGTCTTGTTGGAGGCTTGGCCATTGACCGAAGAGCCATCTCCGTTCTTCTGCGGGAGAGAGTCCCATTCTTTCAGGGTCTCCTGCAAAGCGACAATAGAATTTCCCAACCTGCCATTGGCCCATTTCAACCAGGTTAAGCAATATTGCAAGCTCTTCAGTGACTCTTCGCTCATGGCAACTCCCAGGCCAGAGGTTGAGATCATGAGCCGGCTTTGCCAAGTCGACTGACGGGAAGAACCCTCCTTGCCGAGGTCATCATAGCTGGGCGATTTCTCGTCGTCGTACGGAGGTAGAGACTCATTAAGGTAGAGCTCTGGAGCTTCTGGCGGGTTCTTGGAATCCATATTCGGAACCACGCCTATTTCTAGATCTTCTTCACTGGAGCGTTTGTCACTGGTCACCTTGCGGCGTTTTGATCGATTGGACTCTGACGAGTTGGATGCGTGCCGTTGTAAGGCCCAGCGGAGACTGCCCTCCACACCTGTCTTGCGACCAACACTATGAACAGTGCTGGCTACGGGTGAGCCGATGTTCCGTTCAATGAACTCGGCACTAGATTTGAAACGAGGGGAATATGATTTCGAGGTGGTATATGCGGCAACCGACCCGCTGATTGCAGAGGATATCAGAGGGTGGGTAGATGTTAACAGGGAGAGAATTGGTTCTGGTTGCGATTTGGACTCGGGTGATGCGGTGGTCTGTTGTGAAGATCTAGGTGATGCGCCGAAGTCTAATGAACAAGTGTTAGCTAGCCCGTAAGAGACCGTTGTATATTATAGACAGCAAAACCAAGAGGGGGAATGAAAAGAGGGAAAGCACCTGTACGAAGCCCTTCCAGTGCTTGAGCGGCTTCAAGGTCGTCCATAGACAAGACGCTGGTATCGCGACGAGAGCGGTCGTCAGCCACGGCTGTATTATCCACCTCCATCATAGAGGGCACATGTTGGGAGGTCGAGGAGACGGACGGCGGTTGAGATAAAGGAGCGTAGGAGTTCGAAGACGAATGAGACGTGTAGCTAGAAGTCGGTGTCGCAGAGGGAGGAGGATTCGCGGTGGCGTCGCGGACGGAGACTGAGGAGAGGGAGGTGTTTAGGGTAGCAATGCCGCCTGAGCTGCGGTCCATCGCATGAGCGGCGCAAAGGCAATATTCGAGAAGGGTAAAAGGCAGTGGGAATCCGAGACTGGCGGGGGACGATCAAGAGGTGGGCAATCAATAATAGATTTTCTTCCTTGTGAAGGAGGGACCGGCAGTTGACTGGACGTTTGAGAATGAGAGAGGGTCTGCTGGAGTTGCCTGGAGCGTCTTCACGTGAAGAATTTTTACTACGTAGAGGTCAGACAGCAGAACAGCCGGCCGGCGGTTAAAAGGAAAATACGGCCATGAGCATGAAGATGACAATTAGACACGGCCAAGAGGCAAGTCAGGACCGAGCTGGGCCCTCTCCAATGTCTACAATGGATCGCTCGAAAGTACTCCAGTCTGGCGGTCTCTGCACTGCGTTGATTAATGGCCCCAGCCCTTCGCACCCAAAACTGCGACCCCGGAAAATGCCCAGGGCCGATCAAAGCGTGTTCAATCAATCAGAGAAACAGTCTCATCACATCCGCCACTAAATCCGAAGCAAACACCCTGAACATGAATATTAATGGCCAACAGCGGTGATGCTGGATGTGATTGATGGAGGCACCATCATCGGCATCTGACATCACATGCAAAGCTCGGAGAACCATGGGCCACTGGCCATTCACGAGCAACTGGCTGGGGGTCGCTGTTGGCTGCCGGCAATCGAGAGGCGAGTCCGGAGAAGAATGAGATTCACCAAGAGCGCCACTAATATCCGCAAGCTTTTATCTGCCTCCGAGCTCAAAGTCAGCGATCTGTTGGGGCATTTCTTTGTCCGGGCCATCTTCGGGTCTCTGGGCGCTGCCTGTGCCTTTCCTTGGGTCCTTGCCGCTTGACATTCCTTTGAAACTCAATCGGGCGGGTCTGCATGTGATCGGAGGGTGGGTTTATCAGCACTGACCGCCTTCTGTTTACAGTATTCCGTGGTCTACCCCAAGAGGAAGGAACGGTGCCGCTTGACGGACTTTCTTGCCGATGCCCAACTCAGCCCTGTAACTACACCGAACACTACACTGAGCAAACTAGGTTATTTTCACGTGAACTAGTGCCTACATTGACACAACTATGGGTATCCAAAGATAAAATATCACTCTACAGACATCTGATCGTCAGGGTCGTAGTATCCGCCAACACCTGCTGTTCCATACATCATCGCCTCAATGGCTTCATGCCCTTCATATTCGTCTCCCTCGTCTTCATCTTCCTCTTCGCCATTGTTCTGGGCCCATAGACGTGCAATAACCTTCTGGTTAACTCGATAACACGCCAGGATCTCGTTTGATACTGTTCGAGACGGAAATCTTTTGCTCTTTATTTGGCAAAGATACTCGCCGAATGCGTGGAGGACAAAACTCGACATTGGGTATATCTTATATGTGCACGATGCTAGCAGTTCAAACCATTCCGATTCACTATGTTTCCAAACTTGGATCACTGGGTCGTCCCCGGAGGTCGGAGGTGGGATCGCTCGTGCTTGTTCAGCTGCCTCTAGGGCAAGAGGAGAGAAAGAGGTATCGCCTCCCTGAAGGGACCGGTCCCATCTGCATTTGAGGTCTTCAATATCGCGAGTAATCGCTTTCAGTGCTGCATACACGGGCTGGCTTTTCTCGGCTTTCTTTTGTGCCTCGTTCCACGGCTGAACAAGATCTGGATCCCGTGTTTGAGCGTGCTCTGCCTCTGGAAATGCCTTCTGTAGCTTGATTAGCACATCCCTTCTTTCGTTAGGCGAGACAACGAATCGGATATGATCAATTATGTTGTTGGGTTTCTCCTTGCGGGCTGTGTTCTTATAGGCTGGCAATTCCCGAGCTCTAGGGCTGATCTTTTTGCGGTATTGCTGCCAAGCTGCCTCTGATAAATGTACACCGGCTTTGCGCCCATCAACAAGATGGCTGAGTAGAGCAGAAAGTTCTTTCGCGCTCGGTGAGTCGATAGATTCATCGTATGACAGTTTTTCGTGCTCCACCGTGCACCGGCCCAGATTGGACAATGTTAGGTTGAATGTGAACGAGCTGTCAAGGAACTCGCCCATCGACTGTATCTCGCTCATCGGCACGGAATGCTTGCTGAGCCCGAAGTGTTGCGGGGGGTAGCTTTCATGTTGGCTGGGTGGCTGCGAGTTGTAAAAGTTCCGAACGATATTCTGATCCCAGCAGATCCAGGGTGTGTCACCATCATAATCGCCACCAGATAACATGTCCGCTAATGGGATTTCCCCTGTCGTTGGAAACACAATAACATCCTTGAAGTGGCGAAGTTCTGGTTTCCAAACCGCCTTTCGACGTTGGATGTCAGACGGGAGATGGGCAGGAAGACGCCCGACAAGGACATCTATACCATCTAGTAAATTGTCTTCAAATTGGCTATGGTCATCCCGCCAATTGTTGGAAAGTCCAAAATGAACTTCATCCTCCTTTAAGACCCCGTACGGATCTGCAATACAAAAGGCATAAGTGGATAGTGGCACCTCAATGCGCAACCCCTCCACATATCTTTCCAGTAGATTTCTCAAGCACTTTCCAAGTCGTTTGCGCAGCGGATAAAAGTCTCGGGGCGCAAAACCAGCTTCCGAAAATCGGACTATGGCCTCTACGTCGTCGGTTATCCACTGCTCCAAGCGTCTCATGCTCTGTGCCATGAACTTGGTACCGCTATCTGATGTTGGTCGGATCTTCTGCGCAAGACTGCGGCAAAGAATTGGACTGTTGGCCCTGATTACTTCCTCAAAATCTCGCGCCACGGATTGGATTCCAAGTCTAGCAAGATCGGCAATGTAGTCTTTAACGTTTCCTCCGTGGTCTAAGATCGCGAGGAGTTGGATGTTTAGATCTACGGGATGTGGAGGTTTGGACCACTTGACGACCTCAAAGGTTAGCTTTTCGTCATCGACTGGATCCTTCCATTCCCGTGGATGTGGACTGATTTTCAATTGCGAGTCAGATATCTGAATCCATACATCATCATCAACACTCCCAACTTGGGATCGATGTCTGTCGACCATCCACAAACCCTTGGCGCCAGCGATTCTTCCCTGGAAAACACTTGGGGTATTACCAGAGATCCCCAGGCTATCACAGATCTGGTTGGCAAGCTGTCGAGACATTAAAGAACACCCGTCGTTCATGACACGATGGTTTGGGTCGTCCCGCAGATAAAAAACTTGGTCCGGCTTCAATACAACCGTGGCAAATGTCTTGGAGAGACCAAGGGATATCCGTTGAAACAGCTTGAGATTACTCTGTCCAATATTTGCTTGCGGGGACAAATGCCATTCAAGGAGGGACCCGAGACTCATCGGGGTGTGGCTGTCCGAGCTCTCATTTTTCGCCGATATTCTATGAGATGACTCGTCAAACCGGCCGACAAAGTCAATGCCGTCGATAGCAAAGAAGTCGACCCTAAACCTTGGCTCAGCTTTGACTTTCCGCTTCTGTTTGACTTCTTCCACGTAAAAAGGCCTCCATACTCTCCCCAGGCATTTATGAGGATTTTGAGTCAGCCACAAAGCAATACTTTCTCGCAGAAGGGCAGGATGGGAGGGAAGTCGAAGGTGTTTTGGAGGCCGGGTCGGGGCAGGTAGGGTTAGGCTAAGGAAACGGTCAGACCCATAACGACGATGAAAACGACACGACCGCTCCGTCTTCAAAGGTTTCAATTTCAGCTTTAAGACACCCGGTTCGGACTTGCTGCACCAGTCGAGATCTCCCGTTAGAACGACCACTTCAGAATGCTTGTCTGTTTTGAAAGTACCTCCACATGCAGCATCCCAGGCTTTACGGGTTGTCTTTTCGGGAATCGGTTTGCCATCTCGCTGACCGTGGCATTCGATCCAGCCCCAAAATTTGTTATAGTTAAGCTGCATGCTGCCTCCAACTAGCATGAGGTCCAAAGGGACGTCCCAAGCTCTGCCTATCCTCTCTAACTCGTAGCGATAGAAAAGCGGAATTGGGGCCGGGAAGGGGTGGTCAAGAGAGAATGGCCCGCTCTGGAGAAGCTCTGTCACAATTTCACCTTCAGCAAGGTACCGCGGCACTTCAAACGAGCTTCCCGAGGAAGTGAAGTCTTTGGAAAGGGTTATTTCTTCGCTGAGAATATGGTCCGCCACCGAATCATCATATGTTGAACCAGAGTCTTCTGTAATAGCCTCCGTCGCGAAGGTAACCGTTGAATTAAAAGAACGTTGAATATTCTGAGTATGGGACGCTAGAACACAGGGCGATGTATCCGTTGTTAAGGACGAAAAGCTGAAATTGGCACCATTCTGTCTAGCAGGCACAGCATCATATCTGATTGACTTGTTAGATGCCGTCCTCAACCGCTCAATAAAGGCCGGTGCACCGTTCAGTAAATCCGAGGACTTTGTCGCTGCATTCGAATCATCTACCTCTGGTCCATCGGAACCCTTCACAGGCGAATTCGGAGCCGTCTGGAACTCATCCGACGATTCTTCCCCATCAGACATAGACAAGCGCCTCTTCAGCGGCATCGTAACCAGATTCGGAGACCTTTGCTGTCCATCTAGTATCCCCTTAACCGCTGGATATGACCCAGTCAGAATATAGAACTCGTCGGCAACCAATTTCATCAAATATCCCAATCGCTCCTCTCTTTCATGGTGCACAATCAGCTCACGGCCCAGGCCAGGCTCAGCACGCGCAGTAGCAGGCAACCCGTCCTGCCGTGCCCACATAACAGCCGCATCGCTTGCGTTCCGAGAACAAACCCAATCCTCGAAGTTGTTCAATACCTGGTTTAAACTCACAACCTTTCTATGGTAGTATAGCCTCTGCAACAGTCGATAGCACCGCCACCGCGGTGTCTCAACGTCCTTGTTCGCCCCTGGTGAGAGTACCTTCGGGTTCGGGAGTGCGAGTGAGAATTGCTCATTGAGAGTGTCAATAATGCGTTCGAATTCCTGGCCGGACTTTTTGGGAGTGAGCGGGGCAGGATGTGTTGACATTTTGGCTGAGCATTCCCTTCTCCTGTTTTCTCAAATATTGATGATTTGGATACAGATAGATTGACTTGTATTGGGGTAGTTCTAATGTAAGGATGATTGTCTATCTGATCTTGATTGTCAATGGATATGAAGATAATGAGGGGTGGATAGGGTCGCCATGTATTTGGTTTGTTTTTGGTTGTAGTCTTGGCGGACCCCTGGGAGATTGTAAACACAAACTAATAAAGGGGTTTACGGGTCATCCATTATGGATAATGCATTATAAAGAACTGGCATTTGGGAAGGTGGGAGAAAGACGAAAAGGTGTTCGATAGCCAGGACAGAAGAAGCAAATACCAGAAGGATCAAAGCTGGGAGGGGAAACGAAAAGTGCAAGTGGGCCCGCTGTCAACCCACAAAGGGCGATTCCTGTTGGTGCTCTTGACGCTGAGGCTGGAAACCAAGGCCTTTGCTGATTACAGCACTTCTATATATAAGACTACTATACAATGTGGGCGAAGAAAAGTAAATCATGGCCAGCATAAGAGTCTGGACGGTAGGGTTTAGCCTTGCTTTGAAGCAACTGCTTGTTATGGTTATCAACAATTACACCTAGGTAGCATTCCTTATGCAGTGCCATCATCATCACCTTTACTGTATGCGTGGCGCAGCCCGCAGCATCGAGTAGGGCGCACCAAGAGCGTTGTCCAAGGGCCTAGCTCCCGCCTTATATCAGCCATATGGGGATAATTCGTCCTCCCCAAAGCGTTGTAGTCTCGCTGTGGCCCGCCCCATCTGTCTCAGTATCCTGCAAACTTCGTACCCTAGTAGGTAATACTTCTGTTTTCGCACGTGCGTGGTTTCTCCTTCGTCTCGATGCCGCTTTATATCCCAGGACCAAAGCGAAGTAAAGAGGAATCCCAACAAAAGAGGTGACGAAAGCACCAACATCCAACCCATGGTTGTAGAAATTGCGATCAGATAGTTCAACTGCTCGCATGATGGGTATTGAGATGCAAAGCACCAAAGCGATCCATGAACCAAGAATACCGAATGGTGCTTTAAAAGGCACCTCCTCAGATGCGATCCTATGGCATTTGCGGGCACGTACAAACGATATATGGATAACGAGTATTGACACCCAGGTCAATATGCTGAACATAGTAACCAAATTGACAAGGTAGCTCCACAGTCGCCCGGAGATGGTGAGCAGGTTCAGAAAACCCGACAAGGCCGGGGCGAAACTTATTCCTAAGGCGTACACCGGCACACCGCGTCTATCGGTGCGTTGGAGGAATCGAGGGGCGTTCTTCTCAAAGGAGAGCTCACGAATGATTCGTGTTGCCATGCAAAGGGCCCTGCTTGCCGAAGAAACGACAAAGAAAAGGATGCATGCATTCAATATGTCCGGCAGCACAGTAACATGAGCCATTTGGACCGCCACGACGAATGCTGACGCAGTGCGCTTAGAGGTGTACGTGGGCAATGCTAATATGTCTTCATCGTAAGGAATCGCCATCCCTAATAGAGTGACAATAACAAGATTGAAGGCCAGAATGCGGTAAAATGTTTGCTGAATTGCTCTAGCTGCTGCTTTTCGAGAGTCATGTGTGTGCAACACAGCCATGCCAATTAGTTCGGTTCCCAAGTAAGATAGTGTGGTGGAGGGGAAAGTTCTGAAGATGGCACGGAATACTCCCAAAGCGGTCCTGTCCGCCTCATTGGCGAACGCGCCGGGTTTTCTCCAGTAACGAAATCCCTTCTTGTGATCTGGACCGCCACCAAAGGCAATAACGAGTGACAGGATCATGAGCCCCAGCACTATGAAAACTTTGAACGACGAGAGAACAACTTCATAGCGGCCAAGGAAACGACCACTCCAGTAGTTCATGAAGATTATCACAGCCAAAAATACTGTGATATAGGCGATTTTGTCCACAATTCGAACCGTAGTCCAGTATGATATCACAACCACGCCTGCGGTCATCTGGTTGATGATGACCATCATATATTTGAGCCAGTATCTGCGCATCAAAAAGGCACTTTGTCAGCTCTATACCACCTGAACCGAAACCATGTAAAGCTTACATCCATCCCAACGTGAACCCCAACGAAGGCCCGCAAAATCGTTTCGCTTGAGTATGTAGAGTGGTTGGCTCTCGTGAAAAAGAAGCCACTTCCCCAAGTGCGGAGACAACCAGGAAGACGATAAACCCGACAAAGGTATAGGAAATTAAGATAGAGGCCGGCTGTTGGGATTAGTACCTAAACTTAATAAGAAAAAGGATCAGACGAAAAGCTTACTCCAGATCTAGAATGGGTCATCAGTGTACGGCGTGCCTTTGCGCAACCAGACGACCTACCGCGAAAGAGCATTCCCAAACGCTATCATCAAGCCGGTATTTATTGCTCCACCGATCGCTGTACGAAAATTAGAGGGTTGTTTTCGCTTGCTTTCGGCAAATAACCACGGACTTATGAGAGTCACCTGGTATGGCCTCAAGCCGACATCGGGACTGAGCTGGTACGAATGATGGCTCTGTGTAGACGTTGCTGACACTGGATTGCCTGGGCGCAACTCTGGCGAACCGCTGGATGATTCAATTTGAGACATTGAGGGTTGAGTGAGTAGAGATCGAACATCGAACATCGAAGTGAAATCTGAGGTTCTCAGGATCTTGCTCTGTGCCAGTTAAAACCAAACCCTCCACCCCGGCCGGGCCCATTTAAGTAGTTTCTTGTTTAGGAAGGCTTTGCTACGGCCGCGGTCCTTCCTTAAGGAGTCGATGTTCCAGTAATTCGTGCAGGGAACAGTTAGCACACTCAGTACACATAGTCTAGAGCTGAAAAATTCAAGGCGTTCAATTGTGTCTAGCAACGAATAAGTGGTGAAGGGTATATATATGAATCCCTATCGCATGCATCTATGACCATAGAAAGGAAGGATACCACAGGTATCTCCGAGACACTGGATCTCGTACGATGTCCAGAACGCCGAAATCTAGGAGACCGGTAGCCAAATGCAAAGAAAAAAAAAAGGTACTGAAAAAAAACCATCAGAATGTAAGTCGATCTATCCTCAAAGCGAGTGCTGAGACTCGTTTATACGTCTCGTGATATTCGTGAAATGTTCCTGGATGTTGCAACGACCGAACGTCTACCGAGACATGTAGAGAGAATCGCTAGACTCGGTCCTTGGGAAAAAGCGGCCTTGTAACGAATCGGAAGACTCGCTTCGGGGGAACATGCGTTGGTGAGCTTTGGAGATGGTCCGGTCGGTGTAAATTCCCTTGGCAGTACCCTTGAAGACCTCACTTAGATATTCCTTGAATTCGATAGGTGCGAAGTCCGGATAAAGTTCCTTAGCCGACAGATAGCCAAGGTACTTGGCATATTCTGGAGTGTTGTCGCCGCGAATGCCCCATGACAGCTGGTACTCTGCTAGGTACCGGGGGATGAATTTCACTGGGTCGAAAGGATAGGTCTCGCTTGACTGACGGGCGGCAAGAACCCTGTTTTGAACCAACTCGTCTGAGATCTAATAACGAGGTCAGTACGCGGAAGATCGACAGTTTGATGGGATCACACTTACGTAGTTCCGAACAATCTGCTCCCCACTGATCTCTTCAAGCAGACCGAATATTTCATTTTGGGTGAGAACTGCGTCGTATGCAAAGACCATCTTGTTCAATGTGCGATCGTCAGAAATGATTCTAGCAACATAGCGCCCGATATCCCTCAAATCTGTCAGGGCCAGGGGCGTGTTGCCATCTCCGACGACTTCGTTGTTGGCAGCGGTCATTGCATAGTCAAGTTTACCGGATTCGAGTCTAGGATAAGAGAGTTGGTACCACCAGCCAACATCAATGATGGTGTAAGGAAGGCGGAGTTGCTTGATGTGGTTGTAGACAATTTCTTTCTGTTAAAAAAAAAAAAAAAAAACGTTAGAGATGTTTGAAAGAAGCAGCAATTCGATGGCGGAAAATTACCTCGTCCCTCAACCACATGACACCACCGGGTGGTGCGACGGTGATGAAACCGCAGGGGATGAATCGCTTAACACCGGCCTTCTTCGCTGCGTTGGCAATGGGGATTTGGTCCTGTTGTTCTGCAGAACCGACACAGCTGATAACGACATCGATATCGGCCAGCGCCTTCTCGAGCTCCTCTTCTGTCGATTTCAGGTCACATTTGCGGATGTGCACTCCCTTGTCCTGCAAGGCGAGAACGGCAGGCTTCTGAGCAGAACGGGGCCGAATAAGGGCGTGGATTTTCTGTATGACGAGGGAAAGTCAGAATTTTGCTGCTTTTTTTTTGTCTCCTTCATAGCGATCATATTATCGCTGCACAGTGACCTACATAGGACGGTTGCTCCAGCAGTCCATTTGCAATTGAACCTCCGGTCTCACCCGCGGCTCCGATCAGCAGGACTCTTGTTCGTGACATAATGATCTCCCAAAGCGGCAATGCGTCCGTAAAAGAGATATGCAGGCGAGAGGGGGTGGGCGGAAGGATAGAAAGATGGAGAGGGGGTTGAGAAAAAAGCTGGACACCAGACGGGCAGAGGCAGGGTTGAAATCGGGCTCGCTGGCGGGTGCTTTCACAATGATGTTTTCTCAGACACAAGGCAAGAATCAAGAAACAGGAAAGAATCGACGTTATAAAGGGCAGCGTCCCACCGAAAATGGCCACTTGGTTACCCACTCTTCCTGGGTATCACAAGTGGTTAGCTGTGGGTCGGCTGTGGATGTTAAGCTCCTGCGAGAGATGACGACCTCCGCGAATGAGTGAGGCCATGGCAATGGCACGGTGCAGAGACCTCCGCCGGCATCACCTGAAGGATCAGGAGACAAGAGCAGGGCGAGGCAATAAGCTTGCAGCCAAGTCACATTGTTCTCTCTCCTTTGGCCAGGCAGAGTTTTGCAAAGAGTGAGATCGCCACGGGCCGGCCGGTGGTGGTTCGGCGGCTGAACCCAAAAGGCGCAAGGAAGCCTGACGTCATGTTCCACTTACGGCTTCCCGGTTCCTCTGGATCTGGAGGGCTGCCCCTCAGCCTGACCCTCTTGCTTCCTCCACTTCTCTCCCTCACGCCTGCATCTGCCATCCCCCATCGCGTGTGAAAGGGCGGGGTTGCATCCCCAAATTTCGAGCAAATCGTCGTCCAGCTTCGTCGGACACTACCGGTGACGCCATTGGCATGGGGAGCCCGGTTTTTCCGTGGTCGCGGGCATTCCTCGTCCATGGGCCCAGGACCGAATTCCGTTGCGGACCGCGTTTCACGCGCGATCGCTGCTTCACAGGCACACGCACGCACTCAACTAGGCCTCTCCAGACGCCCAGAAGACTTTCGCCCAGATCAGCAGTTCCCCCGCAGTTACGGAGTCTACTAACTTTTGAGCAGATCCGGGGTTGAATTGCGGAGTTATCGACACGTCTTCGACGTGAGTTTGATACCGAATTGTGAAGACAGGCCCACGAGTTTTGAGTGACCCTGGGTCTATCATGCCGTGCCCAGCGAACACCAGACCGTTCCACCAGTCTTCCTCAGTGCCTGTATACTCAAATCGTCAACAGTGGCGCTGCCAGAAAAATTGGCCATTCAGTAAGAGCTCCCTTGTGTATGAGCGGCGAATGCATATAGACCAGCATTCAAAGCAGACCCTTGCTCGACCAGCTGCTTGTCGAATTCAGCCTGCACGTACGATTCGTCGACATGCACATGATACCTTCATCGCCTGATGATCCGCATCAGAACTGATGCACGGTGTAATATCCTGACTCGCAGTAACCCGGCCCGCGAACAATTTATCTGGAATCTGTGGAGACCAATGTCCCCCTCGGAGGCTGCTCCGAAGCATTGCTGGATGAATTCCAGAAACTTTGCGACCCAAGGATCCGATGGCTGAAGAACGACGTCCTTCTGTTCCCAACAGGCTAGTTGGTGGGGGGATGTGCACAATCCCGTATCTTTAACTCTTAAGGGTGCAGTTTGACAGCTAGCCTTTGAAGTCTCTTGCGAAGGTGTGTTACAGATAGGACGCACGATATTGGGCCCGATTCTGGCCACCCTTCAGACTACGCTTGTTATTTCTACGGTGTGTCTAGACGCCTCGGAAGCTGAAGAAGACGAGCACGCGGTGAGTCTAGGACTACAAACGGTAGAGACCATCTTATGTACATGCTCTAGAATATAATAGCATCACTTCGTTCTTTTCTTAGTAGATTTGTGATTACTACCTGCGTGCGTGATACCCACCTAACTCTAATTTCCACGTTATCACGAGTCCCATGAAGCGATACTTGAGCTCGAGGTCGGCTCAAAACCACGCAGCCGGAACCGCAGTAGGTGAGTCACTCACTCCATGGAGGTTACCCTTGAATTCTAGCCATCAGGGAAGGGAAAGTCGAACCAGAGCTATGCATGGGAAGACATGTCGCTGTGAGGCCCCAAAGGGAAAGTCGCCATCAAAGGCTGGTGCTGTAAGCATACAGGAGCACGAACACGGGGGAATATTGTGAGATGGGTGTCTGGAGAAGTGAGATTTGGGAGTTTGAGTCCTTTAAACACCTTAAACAGCCACTCCCGTGTGATCTATATGATAAAATCGAACGCACCACGGTCTCCAAAGGGGGCCCGTTCTTGAGGGTAAACGACATCGGGAAAGCATAGCCATTGATGGAAATGGATTGATTGAGATATAGCTCTTTCAGATAAAATTAGGCTAAAATATAGAGTTCTCTCTCGTTTAAGCATACTTCTCAGGGCTCTAGCTGAGCCTGAGGTATACTTTAATAAATATACCGGAAACTAATCAAACCGCAAAGTTAGCCACCTGCAACACCCCATCTCACACAGTAAAAAATCAAAGCAACCTGTTGTATTGATAAGGGGAGAGGGGTTATTAGACATACTTCAGATTCTCCCGATCAGTCATATCCAAAAACGCCGTAGCGGCGAGATCCCTCCCCTCCAGACCACCCTCCATCTGGCTCTGGATACGATCTCGCTTCTTATTCTCCCAGCGTAGGAGCAATCCCAGGATACTGATGAGGACAGCCTCGATGAGATGGGAAACGATCATGGACCAGATTCCTAGGGAGTATGTTGGCCTGTTGATGTCAGCACTTGGGTGTACCAGATTAGGGCTTAGAATGGAAGGGCGGGAAGAAATACTTCTGGCTATCTTTATAGAAGAACGGCCCTGCGATGTTTCCCGTACAGTAGCCTAGGAAGAGGACTGCGTTTGTGACGACTTTCTTGGTGTGTCCTGTTCATCATCCATCATTAGCTATACCATATTACTCGATCATCCGATCTCAGGTTATGCATACCAGCAGTATTAGCAACCTGCATACTCAAAACCAGCACAAAAGCTGCGTTATAAGGGCCTGTGAGATAGTAGCAGATCAAGCGGCCAACTCTTTCAGTCTCGGGAACGAAGCGGAGCCCGAATGCACCAGCGATATTGGGAATTAGGAATAGGAGGACGAAGAGGCAGCGGCGGTTCACGAAGCGGTCGTTCAGGTATACGCAGACGAGGATGGAAATGGCTATTATGACGCCGTATGGGATCTGTTGTTGTGTCAGATGAGACGGCTTTCTTTGCAGGAGGAGGAAGTGGTCATGGGAGAAAGACGTACCTGCATGAGAGTTGTAACTAGGGTTGAGAACCCGAAGCCCTGGATAATAATGGTTCCAAAGTTTGAAATTCCGCCGTTCGGGATGTTGCCTGGGCGGGTGGTCAGTACGGCGTGAAGGGTGTTCT